CCTGCTTCACCACACAGGGTGTACATATTCTGGAACTCCAACACAAAGATCTTGGAGTTCTAGTTCCAGTAAGTGAAATATCCAGATGTGCACCAATAGGCAGTGGAAAGTTACATAGTATTTGGGGTTGAATAAAGACATACGTCCATCAAGTCCAACCCATATAGGTCCACGCATCATCTCATTCTTAGGGATACTGGTATCCCTGGATATTACGGTCCCTCAAGAAATTGTCCAAACGTTTCTTGACCTGAACCCGTGCTGATTGTCATTAACTATGCCCTTATCCTTAACAAATTTTACCAAATAGTCCCTAATTATACCTTCTAACAGTTTACAAACTACCGATGTAAGACTGACCGGCCTATAGTTCCCTGGTTGGCATCTAGCCCCCTTTTTGAATATTGGAACTACCGTAGCCCTCCGCCAATCACATGGTACCCTACCAGTAAAAGAACAAAGTAACACGGTGCTCTTCTGATCTTTCTTTTTTCTAGCTTTCTAATTAAAGTATTTCTAAAGCCAAAATGTTTTGGTTTTTTTCCAATTTGGATAGAGATGAGAATGGCTAAAACCTCTGACAGTTTTTTGGTTTTTTTTTTGCCATCTGTGTCCCATCGGGGAGATTTTCCTTCACTTTTGCCCCATTCACACACGAATCGGCCTGCACGTACAGCTCTGTGCTGCGTGCAGGGCCGTACTCCAGCAGCTCCCGGGAAGGACAGGTGCTGCGTGTGATTAGTACACAGCCCCCGTCCTTCTCTATGGGGCTACGCGGCCGTACGCCCCCCTACGCTCCCTCAACTGCAGGTCCGTAGGGGTGCGGGTTTTCTGGTCAGGACGCATACAGAATCCATTCTGGCGGCGTATGAATATGCTCACCCGCACCCCTACGGACGTGCAGGGCGGGTCAGCGTAGGGGGGCGTATGGCTGCGTAGCCCCATGGAGAAGGACGGGGGCTGCGTACTTATCACACGCTGCACCTGTCCTTCCCGGCAGCTGCTTGGTACGGCCCCGCACACAGCACGGAGCTGTACGCGCAGGCCGATTCGTGTGTGAATGGGGCCTTTATGTTATGTAGACACAACAGAAAGGGGGAGAAAAATTGCATTTTAGACAATTGTGACATTGTATACATTTAGAAACTTTCCCCTATATTCCTGTTCTAATGACAACTCGAAATTGAGACTTTCCCTCACTTTCAGTCTTGGTGACAATAGTCTATATGGCAAATAGAGAGCATGAGTCTGCCTAGCAAGGAAAAAGACAGCAATAAGTTCCAGGAGTTCAACCCCCACCACTAGGGATACATTTCGAAGTTCAGGTCCAACATGATTTCGACCTGGACCCAAGTCATCCCCAGTATTAGAAAAAAGCAAACTAATGCAGCCTGTGGCATAGTGGCCAGCCTCTTCCCATTGGGGTTTCCCCCTTTCAGCAATGCCTACAGTGCAGTAAATTTAGTCACTATCAGGAAAGAGCTTCTTTGCCATGCATCTTCAGAGTGGGGTATTTTGTGCTCCCTCTTGGATGGTGGCAGTAGATCCCCGCATGGTTTTTCACCTTGTATTGGGGAAAGATGAAATGTGTGTCCCACCCTCCACCCCTCCCTCCCTGAAGCCTTCCTCAAAAATAATTCCTTACCCTCACTGCCAGCACCTTAACACTCCTCCTGCCGAATATATGGTGTGATGTGGAAGGGCAGGCGGTCTTTAGCCATAGGTATTCCTCTTGCAGCTATGCCTTCAGTGCGGGGGATCCAGCTGCCATAAGGAAAGTGGAGCATTTTTAACTCTCTCTTGGATAGTGGCAGTAGTGTAGAGATGGCAAGCCCACCTTGAAGCAACCCCGAATTTCCTCCTCTTCCTCACCACCAGCACTGCCAACCCTTCTCCTCCCCGTCAGAACCCCAACACTCCTCCTTCTCACTGCCAGTACCCCCACCCTCCTGCCGTCTCATGGATTTCCACATGCTGTTGGAGGAAAGGGATGGCTTTCTGTGCAAAGTAATGGTGGTGAGCATACAGCCTTTTGGGCAAAAAAAAAATGATGACTGGGTACCTGACACTGAGGTGTTGCACAGACAACAAAAAGGCATAAACGGGATGTTAGCCAAAGTTGAAATGAAGATGTGCATGGATGAAGGTGATTTGGGCAATTGTCTTACCTCCACAGCAGTGAAGCAAAGGTCTGTAACCAGCCCTGCCCATAGCAGCTACAGGTAAAACGCTGAGATTGATGGAGGAGGAGAGGGAAAAGGGCACAAGAGCAGCACTAGAAAAGCAAGTGGCTTATTTGCGGCCTTAAGAAGAAGGAGGAAAATGGTGCATTAGCAGACCAAAAATAAATGGCTGCTATGTGCCCTTGGGGAGGTGGAGGGAGTGAAGGGCATATTAGGCAAATACCTTGAGAAAGCGTGCTGATTTCATGGGAACAGTTGTTTGTTGAATAACCTTTTTTAATGCTGCAAATATAGAACCACTGTTGTAAGTGTTCCTAGATCTCTTTTTCTTTGGAATAAATGGTATTTAGGAGCAGGAAAAGGGTATATTAGCAGCACTCTAATAAAAACTAGCTACTATGCACACTCAAGGAGAAGGAATGAACATCTTTAGTTTCCAACATGTCTGATTGGGCACAAAGGGCATATTGCACAGAAAATGTTGACTGTACTTGGCACCCTGACAAAGACATGCTGAAGACATGTGGTACTCTACCAGTGACATGCTGAACACAAAAGATACTCTACCAGGGAAATTCTGATCTCATAGGGTTCTCTACCCGAGATATGGAAATAAAAATAAGGAATTTGCCAATGACATGATGAGCATTAACTCCTTTCTTGCACAGTTCTGGTGAACACACTGATCACTTCTGCAGGGACATGCAGAACACTGTGGTAGGAATATGCTAAGCTAAAGGAATGTTTTTCCAGGGACATAATGAGCACTCCTAGGAACATGGTAAAAACTAAGAACATTTCCAGGAACATGCTAGTTGGGAGGGTTACTTCCAGGGACATTATGAGCACATATAGCACTCTGCCAGAAGTATGCTAAGCATAATGAGAACTCTGCCAAGGACATTCTAAGCACACTTTATCAGGCACGTGTTAAGAATAAAGGGAACATACTGAGCACTAAATCAGGGGAATTCTAAGCAGACGCTATACTCTAAGCAAACCATTGTTGATATTCTGACCACAAAAGGGACTCTTTTAGAGACAAGCTAGCCAAACTGAGCACTCTGGCAGATAAATATACTGAGCACAAGAGGCACTCTATCAGGGACATCAATTATTTTCCAAAAAAAATGCCTCTCTTACCGTGCAATGCTGCTTTTACCCTGCTCCTGGTACACGTACTGATTCTGTATCCTAAGCAATTTCCTGCAAATAGTGGGGGTATATGGATATATCAATCTCCATGTGGATTGAAGTAGAAATCAAATTTCACCTTAATTACAATATAATTATAATTTAATTATTCAAAAATGTGTTTATTTTAATGCTGGTATTTTTATTATCAAAATAAACACAAATACCTGTAGAGTGTCCCCATTGTTGTGGTCATATCCTTCCTGATATTTTAAAAGTCTGAATGGGGAAAGGTTGGATTGGTAATGCTACATCACTTGGTTTTCTGGTGGGTGCTATGGCTTCCTACATCCACTGAATATTATGGGGAGGAAAGTTGTAGACATTACTAGAAAACCCTGTAATTCATTTTTTTTTTGTGCTTTGTTCTTAAGGTTTGCTGCATTACAAAAGGGAAGTCTTGGCATGGACAGGAGGTTAGGCCAAAACATCACTGAAAGGTTCCATCTTCATCCACCAGCAAACCTTATCATTCATTAGCATCTTTCTTAGGACAGTTAGCTCAGGTATCTGGTGGCATAGGATAGGTGGATAAGCATAGTAGCAGAAAGGTATCCACATTCTTGTTGTGTCACTTATAAGAGAACAGGAATGTTTTACAGTGCTTGGACCAGGATTCAACTACTAATTGTAAATAGAAAGTGGCCATTTAATCATTTATAAGGTAGAAGACATTGTTAAACAACTATGGGGAAATAAGAATGTTCCCTTTACTTTCACTTTAACTAAAGAAGGGGCTTTGTGATGGGAGCATATGTACTATCTCTTGACAGTAGTAAGCTTCTAAATCAAAGTAGTAAAGCACTCCCATGGTAAGAGCTCTCCAGTGAAGTGAAATGTTTATTTTATATTATCACAATTGCAATAGGATAAAAATACATAAACGTAGTAGGAAAAACAAGGCTTTAATTATGGGAACTTTGGCGGGATCTGTTCACTGCTAGATGAACTAAAAAAGCAAATTGTGACTTAGCCCTCAAGACTTCGACTATAACGTAAATATCTCTTACGGGTACAGTGGTCCTTAGAGGTCTGGAATCCTATTAGAAAAATGCATGAGTCTTGGCTGAAGGTTGTGTGAACCTTGGGTGAAAGCATTGATAAATAGACTGTTTACCTGTTTGTAACAATTACAACTTCCTCATAAAGTAAAAACGTTTCAATTTCTTCCAGTATTAATAAGAGAAGTCATAGGAAAAAGAACTGATGATTCCAGAAGAGTGGAGTTGCAAGAATCCACAACATCAGAAGCATAAGAGAAGGAGAAACCGGGAAGGTATGGGCATTTATTTGTCCCCCTTATTCATTGCAGTAGTGTTTCGCAGGTTTCGTGACACCAATTACAAACGGCAGGGTTTGTAGTTCTTTTCTAAATCAGCTTTTTGTACGAAGTTCATAAGCTCTTTTACTCACATTCAGTGTTAACTATAGTTGTAGTCACTCATGTTCTGTATCTCACACCAGTCTTTGGAGACTACAAGTGATATATGCTGTCCAGTTCTCTTCTTAAATTGGCTGGTGAAGTACTGTAGTTCTTTTATACTATTGTGAACTAATACACCAACAATACATGATCAGTTAAAGGTACTTGAGGACACTGACATACATAATTGCCAGTGTTTCTTATACAACACCATAAATCAAAACTTCAAATATACTTCCATTAAATTCAAAGCACATTTAAAAAGAGGAACAGTGAGTAGTGTACTACACACACTTGTATCTGACAACACAAAAGCTCAGTGAGTTATTGTGAGTTAATCCACAATAAAATGTATAGATTCAGTTAAATAATACTGGATTTTTTTGTTTTTAGAGAGGGCTAGGCAGCTACTTTAGCATAACCTCAAATAATCATTGTTCGCTAGGTCATTTATGCCTGCCTCTGTAGTGTTTTCCGTCACCTTTTATCGGTGAAAGTCAGTTTGTTGACATTTCTTTCCCACCCACGTCATTAACAGTATTAATCCCAGTTATGCACACCACCCTAAGGAGTTCAGTTATTGGATATACTAGCCGTTAATAGCACTCTTTTTTTTTTTTCTGCTTTGCTAATAGAACTTTTTTTTTTCTTTTTGCTTTGCTAATAGAAATTTTTGTTTTCTTTTTGCTTTGCTAGAGTTGGATGGTAGCCTTTGGGTGTCACTAGTGAGTCTGTATTATATTTCCTACTAGATTTAGCATAGATAGAGTAGATAGATAGTGTAGTTCCACTTTTGTAGTCACATTTGAGAAAACCCCACTATATGTTTGCTATGCGTTCACATTCACACAGCATAAACAAAAATATTTATTAACTTTAGTTGAATCTTTGGAGGAGGCCTTTGTGCAGACCGCAAGCTATGGAGAATAGCTTGAAAGGGAGTCTGTTCCCATAGAAAGAATAGGGACACAATGGGGGGAATTGATCAAAACTGGAGCAGACAAAATCTGGAGCAGTTGCCCATGGCAACTAATCAGCTTCTCTCTTCAGTTGTTCAGTTAAGATTTCAAAATGAAAGATTGAAGCTGATTGGTTGCCATGCAAAGATGCTCCAGTTTTGTCTGCTCCAGTTTTGATCAATTCCCCTCACTGAGTTTCCAAGATTTAAAAAACTTTACCCTTGCAGTGGGGCTACTCACCTAATCCTTGGGCCAGGCTGCTAGACCGGTCTCTTAAGCTATATCTGACTTGCCAACTTGCACACATACAACAGGAACATTTACCATTTGAGCATAACAATGCAAGAACAACATTATCACTACTAGAGCTGCAGCTAACGATTATTTTCAAAATCGATTAGTTAGCCGATTATTAAGTTCGATTAATCGGTTAATCGGATAAAAAAATAAAGAAATTAAATACATTTTTAAAAATGGCTCCAGTGATGGACTACTAGTTTGTATTGAGCTTGTAGTCCATCACAGGAGCAAGCTGGGAGCGGTGGAAGTAAAAAAGAAAAAAAAAGTGTGGTGTGCAATATAGTGAAATGAAAAGTGTAAAATTATACAGCAATGAATGCAGAACTGCATCGGCTATAGAGGACTACAAAACCCAGCAATAGTACATTATACAGCACAATGCAGAATACCGCCAGCTATAGAGGAATACAACAAATCCCAGCAATAGTACATAATAGCTGGCGGTATACTGCATTGTGCTGTATAATGTACTATTGCTGGGTTTTGTAGTCCTCTATAGCTGGTGGTATTCTGCATTGCGCTGTATAATGTAGTATTGCTAGGTGTTGTAGTCCTCTCTAGAGAGTAGTATTCGGCATTGCACAAGGAGGTGCGGTGTGTGGAGCGTTAATGCGGGCGGGCGGATCTGGCAGCGGCGAGCGTGAGGTGGGGGGGAGGTGTGGCGCGCAGCGTGTGTGGAGCCCTGAACAGGGCCAACCAATCGGAAGCCGATTAATCGATGTTTTAAAAAGTTGACAACTTTTTCAATCATCGATTATAATTGATTATGTCAATTAGTTGTTGCAGCCCTAATCACTACAATAACGGCAGAAATATTATCTCTGCAAACCTGTTCTAACAATGCTTATCTTCACAAGAACATGCATATACTTGGCACACATAGAGTCAAAAGCATGCAGGCCATCAAAATATTTGGGGGTCTATTCATTAAAGGGTGAAGAGTTTGGAGAAGGTAGAAGTGACCAATCTAGGACAACATAGCTGAACTGGAGAGTGAGCTGAATTGGAGACTTTTTTCCAAATCAACTATTTTTGCCTAGATTGTTCACTTCTCCTGCCTTCTCCAAACTCTTCACCCTTTAGTAAATAGACCTGTTGGACTTTTTTTGATGAGATTAGTGTATACAGGCATACAAGGTGTTCATTTAGCATTGAGGTTCAGTTATGTGCAGTTGTCTGGCTGAAAGCATGTAAATGTGGCTTTACAGATCTTCTTACAGAATAACATGTGAGCGCATCGCTTTGTATGGATTAGTGACTAAGCCACTTGTGCTTCTAAGATCTATTAACCTCTTGTGTTAGGGTAGTAGTCAAATCTGAAAACTAGAAGTCAGTTGTTTGCCTACTCATAGTTTATTAGTAAATAATAATTGTAAATGTATCACTAACTGATGATAATAACAGTTATGATTTTGTTTGTTTGCAGGAGCAACAGTTGACATCACAATCATATTCTCTGCAGTCAACAAACAGCAAAAATAAAACTGAATGATTGTTTGGGAAGAATAAATGTACATTTCAGCAGTGGAAGGACAAAGGAAATTACTTTGGTTTTTTTTCTTACAACTGTGGCTGTATAATTGCTTTGTATTTGTTTGTCTAATGTATGTAACATTCTTCTTAAAATATAAATAGTACCAATTGAAATGTTCATTTATCTCTGAAATTGCTTCCAGTATACTTTGTTTCATTGAGCTAAAGAAGTGGTTAGAAAAGTTCTCTTGTCTGAAATAGGTTGATCAACACTCTGGGCTATATTTATCAGTTTCCGAAGAAAGGGCAGTTCATGGTTCTGGTTACCGATGGCAACAAGCACAGTTCTGTAGGATTTAGTAAAGGGAGATACAAGAGTTCAGGAGTCGATTCACTATAGGCAAATAGGCCTTTGCAAGGGAATTTGCACTTTCTATGGTAATTTTTCATTAGCTTGCTGAATGTGGTCAATTTCACTTCACAGATACCCAAAAATGCACTCAATTAAGGAAATGTTTTTTTTCTTGCACTTGATTGGGTGATGGAAGTCAGTAGAGCTTCACCTCATTTACTGAACTGAGGAAAAATGAATCTGCAAAGAGCAAATTCCATTGCAAAGTGAGCATCCTTTTTGCCTTTAGGGTTAGTTCACACCAGCCCCAGTGCATTCCGGCCCGATTGGTGCCTCTGATGTAGATCAGCCTTTAGGGACTGCTATCAGGTAAGATGAAACATAATATATAAAACTATGACATGTTAAAGAGGGGCTGTTTTTGTGTTGTACATAATCATATGATAAATAATTAGAGTGTTCCTGTTAGGGCATGTGAACATGGGCTTATGTGGGTCAAAACTACCAGTTGTATGTAGCCTATAGGCAACCTAAAGAGAGGACAGAAGGAAGTCAGAAATATCTATGAAAGAGCTTGGATAGAACTCAGATGCAAGCTGAATGCACCTGAAAGCACTCTGAATTTGCCCATCTACTGAAGTCCTTAGGGCTAGTTCACACCAGCCATAATGTATTCTGGCCCAATTGGTGCCGGAACGCACTGGATCGCATTGTTTTGGGGTGGGAGGGGGGCGTAGCAGTGCATTGAAGTTAATGGCACTGCAGCCACGCCCTCCGGCCACAGTGCGATCGCCCTGCTGCATTTTTCCTGACTGCACCAGAACGGAATGCAGGCACTGAAGTGCCACATGTTTCGGTGCGGGTGATTGCACTGCGGCCGGAGGGCGTGCCTGCTGTGCCATTGACTTCAATGCACCGCCACGCCCCCTCCTTTCACAAAACAAAGTGAGCCAGCCAGAATGTGATCCAGTGCGTTCCAGGTATCAATCAACGCACTGTGACTGGTGTGAACTAGCCCTTAGAGTGCTGTCAGATGAGCATTTTTCCTGTTAGTGATCTTCTTGGAGACCATATGACAGAAGCTCAGATAGATTTCCATTGCTTTCCATATTGAGAAGATGCAGAGAAAGTTTTAGCTAATGCTGCACATAAAGGAATACAACCAGAAAAGCATTCATCTATAGAGCAATGCTTTGACATGTTGGCTTCTCCTTTATAACAAAAACATTCTGCTTACCTCTCTCTTACTGAGCAGCAGCATCTTAAGATTCAGATAGATGGTGATTACTCTTCCCCTGTCAAACTTGTACATGGGACAGTGATTAATATATAAAATAGTTTGTTTGTTTTTTAAATGCATGTCTATCTTATTCTCCTTCAGCAGAAAATCTAAGCAGGTGCCTTTCATTTCATTTATTATTTTTAATATAATGATTGTGTAACATTTCCATACTGATCTAATAATCTCTGCTTTGCCTCTGCGTGAAAGCGTGAAAACACTCTGACCCTGTCCTACATGCAGCAATAATTGATTCTCCCTCCTGACAGGGTTGAAATATGACATTACAGGCAGTTAAAGTTCTTGTATGACATGGCCCTAGGTTCAGAAGCTTTCAAACTCATTTCAGCAGGGCACCTTTGCCCTTAGTTTACTTATAGAAGCCTAGTATTTAAAATATTATGTATGTATGTGTGTTTGTCAAAAGTCGATTTTCCATTCTCGGTTGAACAGTGACTGCAGCAAATTAGCTTAGTTAT